TATTCTCTTTATAGCTCTTTTTACTCCCCAAATTATCTTGTTGCTTCGTTTGCTTTTTAGTGTGTCTGCCTTTCCACTGAATTCTGAGCTGTTAAGACAGCAAGGACCAGAGTCCTCAGACCTACTTCTGAGTACCCAAATCCCAGAATAGAGCCTGGCACGGGGGAGCTTAGGCAAGGAATGATGAATGAAGAAACGAAACGCACTGCGCTCATATGGAGATGAAGAGGAAATGAGAGACACAAATTCAAAGGTGGGGAAAAAGGAGATTAACAGTACAATCAGTACAAGTTCAATTTTAAATGAGCGCGAACATGATCCTCTCACGGAGGGCCCTGAAGGCCGTAGTAAGAAGCACGGGCGACAGCTCGTGGGCACCGGGGAGCCACGGAAGGGTGGGGAGCAGGGGAAGGCAGACCGCTAACTCCAAATGAATGAAAGTCGCGTTTCTCCGCACATCACACAATATCCTACTCCAAGTCATTTTCGTCCACAGCAGTTTCCCAAAGAATCCACCCACAATGCGCCCCCTACCCGGACCTGGCATCCCTGCGCTGTGCACACCTCCAAATTCCAGATCCTCAATCTCGTGACCTCCGACCTGCAGTGACCTCTCCAACCGCCGCCGCGGCCCCGCCACGCCCCCGCCCGCCCGAACTCCTCGATCAGCCACGTACGCCACTTACGCAGCCGGGGCGTCCCCGCCGCCGCCGCCAAGCCTGCCGGGTTCATCCTTTGCCGCCGCCACCTCAGCCGCAGTTCGTAACGTGGCCGCCCGGCTCCCGTAGCCACGCCCCAGCGGTGACACGACAGCCAATGGGCTTCAAGATTGCTCAGATGGCCACGCCCCCTCTCTCTCACGGAGGCGTGGACGAGTGAGGTGGGGTTTACGTAAGAGGCGGGAACTAGGGCTCTCAGGCGTAAGGAGAGGGGCGGGACCTGAGCGTTAGGGAGGCGGGGCCGGGAACAATCCTAGGAGTAGGCGTTGTTGGGCATGACGGGAAATGTAGGTGTCACGTGTTGAGCGAAGAGGGCGATGGGAAATGGAGTTCTCTGCCGCTTGGGACTCTTTTGGGTGGCCGAGAGCACCGGGGAGCCAGCGAAGGGTGTGAAGAAGGGGAGAAGAGGTGCACTTGTGTTTCCGAGGGGCTGATCGAAGTTGTGCGAGCTCTGACGCTTTGGGCACTCTTTAAGTATTAAAGTGAATATTTAGAGTAGGAAGAAGACACCCAACAGGTTAGGTGAGAAGAACCGGTGTCTTTCTTGGAAGACAGCTTTAGGCAGTTTCCCAGAAATTTATTAAAATGTTCTCTCAACTGGATTTTCTCTGAAACCAAAGAGGCTCTCTAACTTCCACTTATCTCCGGCAAAGACAACGGTGGGGGTGACATCTGAGCAGTGATAGCGCTCCGGAAGGATGTCAGCTGGGGACCCTATCATTGTGGCTTCCCCTTCCTCCTCGGAGATGTGGGTTTTTTCTGGGGACCTTGAAAGGCTGCCCCTGGCTTCTCAATAACGAGTCCAGGCTGCACTGAGGTCCTTTTGTATGAGATGTCCCATTTCTCTTCTCACCTCGGGTTTAGAATCTGCCCCTTCGGCTTCACCGCCGTTTTCTCCTCA